ACTGCATCATTTATTCAACTTGAAATGATTATTGCAACGTAAGGAAAGACAACAAAGTAGATTTTTGCATAGTTCCTCTTAAGCAGACCTGCTTGTAATGGAATGCCAGTAGTGAAAATGATTTTCCACATGAATTTTGTTGAAAATTGCTTTGAGTATTTTTTTTTTTTTTGAAGGTTTCTAGAAAACTTGTCCTCTTTTGTCTGCTACTGCTGCAGGATTGGTGAGGCAATGTACAGCTTTCTCTGGGGCTACCAAGGCAGCGAGGATAAAAATAGGGCAAACTTTAAGAATCCCAGATATTTTCAGATAACAAAGACTGATTTATGTGGGCCCATTTTGTGCTCTGACAAAACATAGAGAAGCTTTTGTGCTGTGATTAGCAAGGGCGCTGATGTCAGTTCTCTTGTCGAGCATCAAGCTTTATTCTGTGGCTAAATTGTGCTTTGTACCATAATCCAGAGAACCTTTGTATCTGCCTTATTAAAGTGTGTAGTTTATGTAATTGCTTTTGTTTTCCAGTTTAATCTGTGCCAGATTCAATAAGAGTGACTCATTTTGTGACTGAGACAAACATTCACATTTGGACCATGTTAAAAATAAATAAATAAGTGGCAGGTGCTGTTGGCTAAATTCTGTGTTTTAATGCTGTAATTTCCTGCTGTAAGGGTTCATCTCTTATCCTCTGTAATCGCCAGTACAGCCTAGCTAGTACTCCCTGATTCTACTCCTGTTCCCCAGTGCTACTCATGTCTTGGCTATTTATTTTAGTTTCCAAGGGCCTTTTACATTTTAACAATATCATTTCAACAGAGAAGCAAAGAAATGGCTGGGGAGCCACAGTTAACCAGAAGACAAAGAGTGACCCATAAGCTGTAGCAGAAGGACACATTCTTTTCCTTTCTTTTTGTCATTTTTTCCAAGGTGTTTTGTGCATGTGTTTTGGTAAAGCTGCCTTAGTTATGTTTATGTTATTATGTGTATGTTCAGTATCCAGGTCTTTTTCTCAAGTGGAAGAGTTTTTGAAAGCACGCCTTCTGTTCAACGTGGCCCTTATATCTAATCTAATATTCGCAAAATTTTACAACTTCAGAGTCTTAGGGGAAATTCTCCTTATCGTACAAGTATTTCTAGATACCAGGTGCTGTGTTATGCATGGAATATGTAATGACAAGTCACTATCTTTGTGGATTTTACAGTCTGCCTAGGGAGTTAGATACTAAATAAATAAATACAAAGAAAATTTAAATTGCAAAATGATAATAATCCTTTAGGTAGTAAGGTACCTTATTACATGGGTAGTAAGGTACCTTATTACATGGGTAATAAGGTCCCTAAAACTGTGCTCTACTTAAATTGGGGGTCACTGGGAAGGGAAGGCCCAAAGGTCAGAGTCCGCCTGGCAAGAGAACATACTAGACTCAGGAAATGGCATGCACAAAGTCTCTTGAGGCAGGAAGCAGTTTGGCATCCTATTAACTGTATTATTAGAAGAGAGAAGTGACAACTGACAAGGCTAACTGTATTAAAAAGATTATAGATCAACTACGCAGGCACAGCAGTAGGGCACTATTTAGTATAGCGGCAAATAGTTGAGCAGCCTCTCAGAGCTTCCCTGAAAGTGCAGTATAGAGATTGATGCCTATAATACTTCGTCTGAGTCATTGGGGAATGGGTGGATTGTGTTCAATGAATTATGTAGTGAGGCATTGTAGAAAGATTTCGACAAGAGACATTAAAGTTTTAAAAAGTCATTTCTGCATTTAAAGACAGAATCTTTACTATCTGGAGAAATCGCTTACTAAAAGATATGATTCCTTGATGGCCCTAAAGAAGTGACATAATACTATATTTCGTCTCTCTTTTCTTCTCTATTACTTTTTCAGGCTTACCGCTTGATAGAGAGGTATGGCATAACTTTACTAAGAGATGATATTTATTTATTTTGAAGTAAATAAATGTCTTACTAACTAAATGGATTTTTGTAATCCAGAAACCAGTGCTAAAGTCATGTGAATTTAACATGTTAGGATTTTTCAGTGTTCTCTAAAGCATCTAGAAGAACTTCCTACTGCCATCTCTTTCTGGACACGACTAGTTCCTCTTTGCTTGGAGTTATAGTTGGACTGAGAAGTTAATTTAAAACCTTGTTGACATTAAAGAACTACATAATATTTTTAGGCTTTTGTGATATTTCTACTAAATCTTATTGAAGGATTGCATCCAGTTTTTCCATGAAGGAATGCCTCTCCATTTAGCAATAGTTCTGCAGGTATGTTGACAGGTTTGCTGTATTATCAAATATTTTCATGTATTGTAAATATTTGCTTCATGATTAGTCAACTCCTTAAGAGTAGCGATCATGAATTACCTACTTGTAGTTCTCCCCACAGGTATTTACAATAGAATCGATAACTTATTGACTGGTTAGCTCACTGATTTACCTTTTAATGTAGCTACATTTCCTTGAATGGATACAGTTTAGAGTCTATTAAAACGTTAAACCTAAAGTTATCGCCCAAGCTAATTCAGTTATAAGTACAGTTGTCCAGGTTTTAAGAAGGCGTTCGGGGTGTCTGGGTGGCTCAGTCGGTTAAGTGGCTGACTTTGGCTCAGGTCATGAATTCACAGTTCATGGGTTCGAGCCCCACTTTGAGCTCTGTGTTGACAGCTTAGAGCCTGGAGCCTGCTTCAGATTCTGCGTGTCTCTGTCTCTCTGCCCCTCCCCTGCTCATGCTCTGTCTCTTTCTGTCTCTCAAAAATAAATAAACATTAAAAAAATCTTTTTAAGAGAAAAAAAAAACATTCAAGGAGGATTAAGACTTAATATTGTTTCTGGGCAGAGTTGTTGGATTTAAAGACTGTTGAAGCACTGTTTCAGTCATTCAGTTCTGTTTTTATTATTTAATCAACGAGATTTTAGAGAGTAATAGTAAAAGAATTTTAGGCCTGTTGAGGCATAGTATGAAACCCGTAATTGACCAAAATTTGTGGAGGAAGTACATGGTGAGTATAGATCTAGATTGCTAGTATATGTTTGTTGGGAAGAAAAGGGAAAAGAGAAAGAGAAAGGAGGAGGAAAATTGCAACCCATAAGAATACAGATCTTATCCGTGTGGTCTTTGAAAACAGACTCACCGGAAGAAAGACACAGCCCATTTCTTTGCTTGCTTTTCAGGTGAGAAACGAGGAAAGCTTTTAAACTCTTTTTTCTCCATTCCCCTCACACAGGAGTGAGTGAGAAGCTTAAAATACAAAGGAGTCTTTTGAAGAAGTACCTTTATATATTCTTTTTTTTTTAACATTTATTTATTTTTGAGAGACAGAGCATGAGTGGGGGAGGGGCAGAGGGAGAGAGAGAGGGCTGTCAGCCCAGAGCTGGACGCAAGGCTCGAACCCACGAACTGTGAGATTATGACCTAAGCTGAAGTCAGACACTTAACCGACTGAGCCACCCAGGTGCCCCCCGCCCTTTATGTACTTACTGATGGCTTGATAGTAAGGCATGAAAAACCTTGCCTTTTTTTTAATGTGGTAAGCTGTACCTAACATAAAATTTACCATTTTAACCATTTTTAAGTGTTCAGCTTCAGTGGCATGAAGTACATTCACTTTGTTGTGCAACCGTCACCAGTATCTATCTCCAGAATTTCTTTATTATCCCATACTGAAACGCTGCCCACTAAACACCGTTATCCCCATCTTCCAACTACGGGCAACCACCATTCTGCATTTGGTCTCTAGATTTTGATTATTGTCAGTCCTCGTATAAGTGGAGTCATATACTTTATCCTTTTGTGACTGGCTTTTTTCACTTAGCATAACATCTCAAGATTCATCCATGTTATAGCGTGTGTCAGATTTTTCTTCCCTTTTAAGACTGAACAGTGTTCTTTGTATATTCCACATTTTGTTCATTTCTTCATTCATCAATGGACACTTGGGTTGCGCCTACCTTTTGACTGTTGTGAGTAATGCTACTATAAACATGGGGTGCAAATACCTGTTTGAGACCTTGTTTTCAATTCTTTTGGATATTTACAACTGGAATCTTTTGTGGAACTGCCATACCGTTTTCCATACTGGTTCTAATTTCTGCCATCCTGGCCAGCACTTGTTATTTTCTGTGGTTTTTATTAAAGACATTTTAATGTGTATGAAATTGTATCACATTGTGGTTTTGATTTGCATTTCTCTGATGATAGGATGTTGAACATTTTTTCATGTGCTTATTGGCCATTTGTATATCTTCTTTGGAGACTCTGTTTAAGTCCTTTGCCCATTTTTAAACTAGGTTATTTTGTTGTTACTGAGTTGTAGGAATTCTTTATATATTCTAGACGTTAATCTTTTATGAGACAAATTATTTGCAGATACTTTCTCTCATTCTGTGAGCTGACTTTTTACTCTATTGATTGAGTCCTTCAATGTGTACATTTTAAATTTTGATGTAATCCAGTTTATTTTTTTTCTTTTGTGTTTCTTCTGCGTTCTTAATGTCCTGTCAATTGCCTAATCTAATGTTATGAAGCTTTCCCCTGTGTTTTCTTCTAAGAGTTTTCTAATTTTAGCTCCTATGTGTAGGTCTTTGATGATCCATTTTGAGTTAATATTTATATGATGTAGAGTCCAACTTCTTTTGCATGTGGATATCCAGTTTTCCCAGCACCATTTGTTGAAACCACTGTTTTTTTATATTTAGTAAAAACTCAGTCTTCCTTAGTTTATTGACCTGATGTTACATTATGTAATACCATCTAATATAGATCAATATCTTCTAATATTCTATTAGATCTAATAGAAAATAATAAATATGTATATATAGACACATTTTTAAGTTGAGGCATCAGTAAAGAGTGGTAGATTATTCCCTGGAAACAAAGAAAACATGTGTGTGACTTTCAACAATTCATTTGTGAAATGTGCATTGATAAATGTGCATCTTCTTGAAAAATCTCTCTCAAATTAATACTAGATGGATATTTTTGTTTCATCCCTAGGCATGGAAGAGGAGATGGTTTGTGTTACGCAGTGGTCGCTTAACTGGAGATCCAGATGTCCTGGAGTATTACAAAAATGATCATGCCAAGAAGCCTATCCGTATTATTGATTTAAATTTATGTCAGCAAGTTGATGCTGGATTGACATTTAACAAAAAAGAGTTTGAAAACAGCTACATTTTTGATATCAACACCATTGACCGAATTTTCTACTTGGTAGCAGACAGTGAGGAAGAGATGAATAAGTGGGTTCGTTGCATTTGTGACATCTGTGGGTTTAATCCTACGGAGGAAGGTAAGTTCAAGATTTTATTATTCAACCTGAGTTCTCCTTTATTGCTGCATTTTTAGAACTATTATAAAAGTCTTTGTTATTTCAGTTACTCAGTATAATATTTTCTTTTTTATAATAGCTAACACCATTTGGAAAAAGCACTAATAACCCTCTAATCATTTTGGGGAGAAGCTTTTCATAGGTTTTAGAAAGAGAGACTTAACCATGTGGGGCAGTATCTAAATAAATGTCTTGAAGAAGAAGCTGACAAGAAGACATACTTATTTGAGAGCATTTCCTGAGTTTCTATATAAATACTAAGTTGAACTGTATAGCACTGCTGATACTTGACTATTTTTCACCTATTTTAAAAACAGCATTTTTATGTGACTCAATTATTTTGATGTTATTTTAAAAACTATATTGGATTATGGGGCACTTGGGTGGCTCAGTCAGTTAAGCATCTGACTTCAGCACAGATCATGATCTCACTGTTCATTGTTTCAAGCCTCACGTTGGGCTCTGTGCTGGCAGCTTAGAGTCTGGAACCTGCTTCAGATTCTGTGTCTCCCTCTTTCTCTGCCCTCACCCCCCGCTTTTCCTCTCTCTCTCTCTCTCTCTCTCTCTCTCTGTCTCTCAAAAAATAAATATTAAAAAAAATTTAAAAGACCATATTGGATTATGAAGTTATGAAATAGTCAAGAGGATTATCAATACCTATGAAAAGCAAGTGACAATCAGTCACAAAACATGATAAAAAAAAAAGTAACAAATGAGTTTATTTAACACAAAGATCCTAAAAACAGCATGGAGGAAGAAGAGGCTCAAGGTTTGGATAACAGGTAGTGAAGAAAAGCTTCTCAGGTAAATTGTAGGTTTTTGAAGGAAGTAGTATTTCTTTTTTTTTTTTTTTTTAACGTTTATTTTTGAGACAGAGAGAGACAGAGCATGAACGGGGGAGGGTCAGAGAGAGTGGGAGACACAGAATCTGAAACAGGCTCCAGGCTCTGAGCTGTCAGCACAGAGCCCGACGCGGGGCTCAAACTCATGGACCTCAAGATCATGACCTGAGCCGAAGTCAGACACTTAACTGACTGAGCCACCCAGGCGCCCCAGGAAGTAGTATTTCTACATAAATGAAAAAAGCGATGTAGAACCCTCTAGGCTTAGGGGCAAGGGAGAGCAAGGACCCTGAGGTGGAACAGAATCATATGTGACTAGAGCAGGGGGCTGTGAATGATAAAAGTGGGGGTGGGAGGAGAGGAAAGAGAGTTGGTTGAGGCACTGAGTTCTGGAGTGTCTGTCCTGGGAAGAACTGAATGATTGAGTAAAGGTCTCATAAAGAATTTTACACGTGGGGGCACCAGGGTGGCTCAGTCAGTTAAGCGTCAAACTTCGGCTCAGGTCATGATCTCACGGTTTGTGAGTTTGAGCCCTGCTAGGGCTCTGTGCTGATAGCTCACAGCCTGGAGCCTGCTTAGGATTCTCTGTCTCCCTCTCTCTCTGCCCTTCCCCTGCTCACCCTGTTCCCCTCTCCCTCTCAAAAATAAATAAACATTAATAAAAAAATTTTTTAAAGATTTTTACAAGCAGAATTCCTCTTCAGGTGCTTATATAGCTGTCTTGACCACTTATTCCCCGTCCACTTCTCTACTTCTCTTACTTTGACAACAAACACATATCTAGGGGACCCCAACACAAATTTAGGTCTGTAAACCCAAAAATCAGAAAGAAAGGTGCCCTCAGGTCTTTGAACTTAGCATCTTCATGGTTATACTGCCATTTACAGTGTGCATTTCCAAATATCTATATTTAGGAGTGTTGGGGTTTCAGTGAGGGCTGGAAAAATTGCGTCAACAATCAACATCAAGTTTTGAATTGAAGTGAAACAGCAGTCATCTCTAATTAGCTCAGGTCAGCATGCTGCTTCCTCTCTGGCCAGTCAGCAGCCCACAAGGAGGAGCCTTCCAGGGCTGGGATTGGCCCAGTGGGGTGGGGAAACCCCTTGGTGAGAGAATCCAGAATCCTGAGAGGGAGCAGCACTGAAACAGGCAAGGAGGCATCCAGTTTAGACAGGAGGTGGCTGATGAACTAGAGCTTTTCAGCAGAGTTCTAGTGATTAAAAGCCTCAAGAAATTGTTTCACCTGTGGAATTAAGCTTTAGTGGTTTTTGTGAAATTACTAATAAGTATGTTCACATTTAAGTGCGTGTGGAGGTATGACTCCTAACTCCAGTTAAACTCCTTTCCATTCTTGCATATAAGGTCTATATTTGAGTGCAGTAGAGGATTTTAAAGTTAAAGTCACAAATAAGATAGCTCTCTAATGGCTGTTTAATGACCGTGCAGTAATGATAATTTTTGGATTAAGATACCACATTAATTTCATTATGTGATGGATTTTCAGTTAAAATAGTTTAAGTCCTTGTATACGCTTTTTGGTGATGACTTTCTTTTCAATTTAGATTTTGTTTTTAGGGACATAAAAGTAGACTTCTGTCTTCATCGGTTGCCTGTATAGATTTAGTTAATCTGAAAGACTAAGTAGTAGGGATTCTTCCGTCTCTTTTTGTTTTCTGTATAATTCTCCTAAATATATTACCAAAGGAAATGAGATACCCTTCAAGAGGAGATACATTCTTCAGTCAAGGAATATGTCTAATTTTTGGAATCCTTTTCAGGGGTGGGTACAGTTGAGAACCCCCAAAATAAGAATTTCAAATGCACAAGTATCTGAGATTAACTTTGTGAGTTTCAAGGTGTGGAGTCTGGTCCATTTGTCCACTTTAGAATGACTCTCATCTCATCATCTGGAAGTTTGATGAACACCCAGTCATCTCTGGGAAGAAGGAAGGTTTTATCTGTTTTGGAAATTGATTCATTAATTTACCAAATTACTGAATTTGCCAGCACTCTACTAGGCTTTGGATATTCGTTCAACCTATATATTATTAGGTGACTAGTTAGGGGGACAAATGGCAAACATTACAGATGTGGAACTGAGCGTCTAGTGGGGAAGGATTCATACTCAGAATAATAATTCATTACAGTTGATGAGTGCAAGATACATAATGTGTGTGGAAAAAATATATATATAATATATATAATTTAATATATTTAATAATTATATATAATATATAATTTAATATGATTATTAAAGTATGATTATATACATATATCAAAGTATGAAACTATGAGACTGTGTTAATACAGCTCTTGCCCTCATAGAGCTTATAGTCAGTCTAACAGAGACAGGAAAATAATCTAGGAATTATAATATTGTTAGATAAGTGTCCAGTTAAAGAAAAAATAAATAAGCATAGATAGCAGTTAATTTAGTTTTAAGGAGGTCAGGAAAAGCATAGGTAGTTTTATTTTATTTTTTTATTTTTTTTTATTTTTTTTCAACGTTTATTTATTTTTTTCTTGGGACAGAGAGAGACAGAGCATGAACGGGCGAGGGGCAGAGAGAGAGGGAGACACAGAATCAGAAACAGGCTCCAGGCTCCCAGCCATCAGCCCAAGCCTGACGCGGGGCTCGAACTCACGGACCGCGAGATCGTGACCTGAGCTGAAGTCAGACGTTTAACCGACTGCGCCACCACCCAGGCGCCCAAGCATAGGTAGTTTTAAATGGCTCTGTACTATAGCTGATAATGTACCGAGAACTTTATTTTATACTTAGTGAAACATTTTCATTGTATTTGTAGTCATAATCAGTCACAATGTCTGTTTTTTGCTTCATGAACTTACCAATATAGGGAGGGGCGCAAACTCCCAAATCCTTTTAAATAGATTAGAGGGGTGCCTGGGTGGCGCAGTCGGTTAAGCGTCCGACTTCAGCCAGGTCACGATCTCGCGCTCCGTGAGTTCGAGCCCCGCGTCGGGCTCTGGGCTGATGGCTCAGAGCCTGGAGCCTGTTTCCGATTCTGTGTCTCCCTCTCTCTCTGCCCCTCCCCCGTTCATGCTCTGTCTCTCTCTGTCCCAAAAATAAATAAACGTTGAAAAAAAAAAAGTTAAAAAAAAAATAGATTAGAAATGCATTTGTCTAGGGGCGCCTGGGTGGCTCAGTCGGTTAAGCGTCCAACTTTGGCTCAGGTCATGATCTTGTGGTTTGTGAGTTCGAGTCCCATGTCGGGCTGTGTGCTGACAGCTCAGAGCCTGGAGCATGCTTCGGATTCTGTGTCTCCCTCTCTCTCTGACCCATCCCCTGCTCATGCTCTGTCTCTGTCTGTCTGTCTCTCTCTCTCTCTCAAAAATAAATAAACATTAAAAAAAATTTTTTTTTTAAATACATTTGTCTTGAATGAAACTCTTAATTTGTGAATGTTTTATCTTCACAATATCAATAAAAGGGGAGGTTGTGAGAAAATTTCCAGTATTGTTAATCAAATTTGATGTATATAATGAGTTGGTTACCACAAACAGCTGTACTAATCATAACTCACTTTTATTTGTTCACATAACAGGCCGCTAAGGACTTCAATTTGCCAGTGATTTCTAAGTGTAGTTCATGAGCTATATCTAAATGCAACTACATTTGTTTTTTTAAGTTCTACAATGTAGAATTTTTTGCAAGTTCATCCTGGCTTTCTCCCAAATAGCCACAATTAGAAATGTCTTACTATGATGTTGAAGACTTGAGTGTCTCATAAATTATGAACTTGTAAATAAATTAGTAGGTCATATATCAGTGAAAGATGAATAGTCCTTCATTGTGTAGTATCTAGGAGCCACAAAAAATTTTTTTCTATAATTTTGATTTTTTCATGCATGGTAGCAAAACTGCAAAAACGCTTCAAAGTTAACCACTGCATTTTATTCATTGGTAGTAGCTGACTTTGCTAGATGCCTTAACAAAAATCTACACATTTAAAGATTCAAACAGCAAAGAACTGCTATTATCTTTTGTGATCACAGTCATACAATTTAATATGACAAAGTAAATATCAGAATGTCTTTGTTCTTCCATTTGCTTTACCACCTGCTTTATATTCTCTTGCTTCTAAATAGATCTCCCCA